CCAGGCAGGGCCTGGGGCCTCCTCTGCGTCCCTGCACCCGGCGCCGGGAACCCCGGATTCAGGTCCACCTCCTTCCACCCAGCACCCCGCGCCCCGGAGGGCGCGTGGGCCCGGGTCCCTGCCCCGATGCCAGCGCACGGGTGACGCCCGCCTCAACCCCATCGCCCCCCGCTCCCCACTCCCAGGGTGGCGTGCTGCAGCGGCCCGGGCACACCGAGGCGGGCGTGGACCTGACCCTCCTGGCGGGCTGCTTCCCCGCCGGCGCGCTGGCGGAGGTGGTGAACGACGACGAGGATGGGACCATGGCCCGCGCGCCGCAGCTGGCGGAGTTTGCCGCACGCCACGGCCTGCTGCGCATCACCATCGCCGACCTGGTGCGGTACCGCCTGCGCCACGGCCCCCTGCTGGCCGACGGCGGCGCGGGGGAGGCCGCGCAGGTGGCGCTGGGGTGGGGCCCGCGCGCGGCCGTGCGCGTGTTCACCTCCCTCGCCGACGGCAGCCAGCACGTGCTGGTCTGCGCCGCGGATCCCGGCGACGGGGCCCCCGCCCTGGCGCTGCGGCGGGGGGACGTGGCGGGCGGCGCGGCGGGGGCGCTGGCGCCGGGCGCGCCGGGGGTGGCTGTCCTGCTCGACGTGCCGCGCCAGCTGTCCGGCCGGCGGCTGGAGGCCTACGCCGCCGCGGCGCTGGGCCGGGCGGCGCCCGGCGTCGGCGCCGCGGCGGCGCCGGCGGGGGTGGCCGCGCCGAACCTGATGCAGGCGGCGCTGACCGCGCACATGCTGCGCGCGGCGGGCATCCACAGCGTGCGCGTCGCGGAGGAGGGCCTGGCCGCCATGCTGCGCGCGCACGGCCTCGACTGCCGGGGCTGAGGCACGCGGGGTGGTGGAGGGACGCGGCGGCCAGCCGGCGTTTTTGGCCCTCCCTGCGTGGCCGCTGATGTTCGGACAGCGAGCACGCGGTGGTCCACCAGGCATGCCACTGTGGCCCCCGCTCCAGGCACTCTACCGACGTGGGCGAGCCGGCATGGGCCATGCTGCCCGTGCCTCATCCAACACCTGCACCTTTCAAGACCCTGCACGAGGCGGGCCGCTGGAATCAGGGCGCCCCTGCGAGCATTCACCAATGCACGCGATGCCCCCCCTGCCCCTCCTGTCTTTTGCCATCACTGACACTGCGTGATTTTTGCATTTCCAACGCCCCCCCATGACGTGACCTGTAGACATGGGCACCAACTGTGCATACCGATATTGGCATGCACCCGCAGTGCTCAGGTCGGATTCTCCCAAAGATTTTCGGGCCGGGTGAATCGCCGCCTAAGGCGCACGGGCTCCTGGGGTGGGCCGGGGCGTGAGCTGGGCCTGTAAAACGTGCTGCCCAGTCCATGTCCAGATCGTCGAAATCTCGGGCAAAACGTGTCGGGAGCACGTGTCGGGAGACCGCAGTGCCGAGAGCTCATATGGGGAGTCGTCATCCAACGTTTCGCAGTACCAACATCCCAACCCACCCCCGCGGGAGCAGCACAGCAGGGAGCCTGGAGCGCCCAAAACAGGCTGGCATTGGCAGCTTTTAGCACCTCCATTCTGCCGCGCAGCATTGCGCAATCCCTGCCCGCGCTCCAGAGTGCTGGGCACTGCCGAGACCCGCGAATTTGCTGCAGCTATGTGCGGCATCCTCGCTGCCCTAGGCGTGACGGGTGACGCCGAGGTGAACAGGCGCAGGCTGCTGCGATGCAGTCGATTGCTGAGACACAGGGGACCTGACAGCAGTGGGGTGTATGAGGATCCCAAGGGACGGGCCTTCATCTCCTTCGAGCGCCTGAACATCGTCGACCCCAGTGACGCCGGCAGGTACAGGGAACAGGCCAATGACAATGCGGCTGCAGCTGAGAGCACTTGACAAAGGACACTGGATTATTCTATAATATTTCCGCGGCTCGCCCTCATTGCAGGCAACCCTTCCAGATCGTGCGTCCGGAGGGCAACCTTGCCTGGGCACTGTGAGTTGGCCTCGGTTGTGAGCCGGGGTCAGGGAGGGGATGTCATGCAATTGCAATATTCCAAGATCGCCGATGCCAATGTGGGGAGCAGATGCATGGCCCTTGATCCTTGCAACATGGACAGGCCACTGGGTAGGTCATGCAGCCAGGTCAGATCACGCACCGCCCTGCCCAGGGCATGTGCATGCCGATGCGAGAGGGCTTCCCGTACTCATTGCTGTGCATGAATGTGAGCATACTTATCGAGTTCATCTTGGAAATCTCCTCAACCCATCCCCCCCTTCACACCCCACCATCTCCCCGACACGCCTGCAGGAACAGCGAGATCTACAACTTCCGGCAGGTGGTGGCGGAGCAGCTGCCTGGCGTCCACATCCCCTCCCAGTCCGACTCCGCCATCATCGGGTACCTGGTGCAGGCCCATGGCGACACCAACGAGCTGTGGAACTCGCTGGACGGCATCTTCGCATGCGTGGTGTGGGACGAGGCCACCTGCGAGTTCACCATCGCGCGGGACCCCCTGGGCATCTGCTCCCTGTACTGGGGCAAGGACAAGGACGGCTCCATCTGGGCCGCCTCGGAGATGAAGGCCCTGCAGCACCTCGAAACCCTGGACATCTTCCCCCCGGTGAGCTGAGAGGTGGTTGAGGAGGGTGGTGGGCGGGCGGCGAGTGTTCCGTGGGAGGTGAGGGGTCCTGCTCCAGCCTCCACATGCCCTGATCCCCCTGCACAGGGGTGTGCCTGCACCCACAACCAGACCCTCACCCCTACCCCTCGGCCAATCACCCTCCCCCCCCCCCACTAATACTTTCGCTTCAACGCAGGGCCATGTGTACCGCAGCAGGACCGGGAAGCTGGAGCGATACTACAACCCGCGGTGGATGGAGGAGGGCCGCGTGCCCAGCGCCCCCGTGGACCTCGACCTCCTGCGCCAGACCTTCACCGATGCCGTGGTGAAGCGCCTGATGTCCGACGCGCCCCTGGGCATCCTCCTCTCCGGCGGGCTTGACTCGTCCCTCGTCGCCTCCGTTGCCGTCAGGTGATCGTGTGTGCTGGGGGGTGAGAAGGCGAGCCTGGTCTGGCTTACCAGGACGCGGCGGGTCTTTGGAAACGGGCGCCAAGCCCCGGGGCTGCAAGCCCTGGAAGGCGCAACCTACCGGGCCCTTCCTCATCCCTTTGCCTCACACTCCCTGTTTGCTGCAGTGTGCAGTTTTTCCCATGCATCCCTCAGACGCCCCCCCTCATCACCCTAAAACCCCCAAACAGGCACATCCGTGAGACCACCGGCACCTTTGACAAGGACCACAAGGTCCACACCTTCTCCATCGGCATCGCGGGCTCCCCCGACCTCGTCGCCGCGCGCCAAGTGTCGGAATTTCTGGGCACCGAGCACCATGAGTTCACCTTCACGGTGCAGGAGGGCGTGGACGCGCTGGAGGACCTCATCTGGCACATTGAGTCGATCGAGCAGGTGTGTGTGTTTGGGGTTGGATGTTTGGCAGGCATGAATGCTAAGAAGGACGAGAGGGGTGGAAGAGGGTCAGCTGGTGGGCTGCATGGCTGTGTCGATGCTTTTTCTGCTGGGATCCCGAGTGTGAAGCATGCGAGTACTGCCCACAGACCCTCCTGCGCCCCGCCATGCCTGAGAATCCCAGGTCATCCTCGTCAGAAATGGCCCCTTCCCTTTCCCTACCGCCTCCCACTCCCCTCCTTCCTCTAAAGGTCCGGTCTGCCATCCCCATGTACCTGCTGGCACGGCGCATCAAGGCCCTGGGCATCAAGGTCGTCCTCTCCGGCGAGGGCGCTGACGAGGTCTTCGGCGGCTACCTCTACTTCCACAAGGCCCCCAACCCGGCCGAGTTCCAGGCGGAGACGGTGCGCCTGCTGTGCCGCCTGCACCAGTGGGACGTGCTGCGCGCCAACAAGGCGCCCTTCTCCTTTGGCGTGGAGACGCGCGTGCCCTTCCTGGACAAGCGCCTCCTGGAGGTGGCCATGGAGCTCGACCCCAGCGCCAAGATGTGCGACCTGGCGGACCGCCCCGACGGCGTTCACCCGCGCCTGGAGAAGTATGTCCTGCGCAAGGCCTTTGACACGCCGGACCGCCCCTACCTCCCTGACGCCGTGCTGTTCCGGCAGAAGGAGCAGTTCTCCGACGGCGTTGGCTACGACTGGGTGGACGGGCTGAAGGGCCATGCCGAGGCCGTGGTCTCCAACGCTGACTGGGCTGCGCGACACAAGCGCTTCCCGGAGCACACGCCGCGCAGCCGGGAGTACTACCTCCTCCGCACCATCTTCGACCGCCACTTCACCCACCCCTCTGCCTTTGACACCGTACCCAAGGTGGGCGGGGGAAATTGTGTGTGGGGTGAGGGGGGGGAAGGGCGGGGGTCACGTGTAGGGGTGTACAACACATGGGGAGGATAGGAGGGTACATGAGTGCCCTGCTGCCTCGCCCCAGCAGGCCAGGCCAGTGCCGTCCCTGCCCCATCCTGATCCTCATCAAGGATGCTCCACCCTATCCCCCGCCCATACCACGCAGGGGCTGAGCATCGCGTGCTCCACGCCCGAGGCCCTGGCCTGGGACCCCAGCTGGGAGAACTCGCACGAGATCAGCGGGCGCGCCATCACCCACGTCCATGCCGCCGGGCACGGCTTCACCTACCAGAAGCCGGAGGTGGTCAACGGCTTCATCCACGGCTAATCGAGGATGTGCTGGTTGTGGTATGGCGGCACGCACCAAGGCCTCTTCCCATCACAGCGCCTCCTGCGGAGCAACCCTGCACGGAGAATCCGATTGCAAACTTTGTGTGTATTCCGCCGTTGGCGAATAACACGCTGCTGGGAACCCCAAAGTTGCAGAAAACGCTTGCCCCTGCTGCTCTGAGAACCTCACAAATCGCGTGCACATTGCAACTGGTCAATCAGAGCAGTGAGGAGACGAGACAGGAAGAGCATATTTGAGGACAGGGGACGGTGTCGGCTCGGCACAAACACATCCCCGCTCAGGTCTCGTCTAGACAACTATACTGCCTGCCGTGAAGGTCGCCAACTCCGGGGGGCATGGACTGTGAGGGGGGCACCTCTTCTCAATAAGGAATCCATACACCGGGCCTGCACAAGGCATGCCAGTGAGGATGCTGCTGAAGCTCAATACATCGAACAGTGTGTGTAGGCAACAGCATGTCCTTCCCCACCGTTTCCTCCAGTTAGCTTCCCTCCTCCTACCGAGCAGCTGCAAACTTGTCCATGCACAGCACCTCCTTCTCTATTTGGCGCACGCCATCGCCGCGCCCTGTTTTCATTCTAGGTACAAACCCAGCAAAGGCAAAGGCCATGCGTCGGCCCTCCAGGGCTTCCCTCCAGCGCTCGGACCCCAGTATCGTCGATTGGATGGCACGGGAGGTGCAGGCCAATCTGCACAGGTCCACCGCCTGTGCCAGAATTTGGATTGGGCTTGAGGATTCGGGGTGGGTGGGGGGAAGGGGGGAGGGCAGCATAAAAGGTGCTTTGAGTGGCAGCTGTCCTGCCGTCAAGCAACCCAAGAGAGGCAGAATCATCCTACAATCAGGGGCTGAGCAGATCTCCTACCTCGGTAGATACAACGAGTAGAGCATGCACTTTCCCCCCCACAGCGAACCTCGAGCTGGGTCATCAGTGGGAGGACTGATGTCAGTTGCAGTCCACTGAGGCAGGTGAGGGGCTCTCCGCCGGCCAGCCTCAGTCCGGTGAGTCGGGCCGGCGAGACCACGTGGTCCACCACCTGGTTCCAGGCTTCCCTCAGCACCGCCTTATCTTGTGCCAGAAAGGGCGTCAGGCCGGAAAGCGAGAGAAGGGTCGTCTTGAACACTGGGCCGTTGTTGACGCAGACGGCCAACAGGGTGGCAGTGCCCATACGGCTGAAGACTGCACGACAGACCACGGCAGACGCCTGTATTGTCGCCTGATACTCCATGCGGGGCACAGAAGTTGACCCTGGTGAGTAGGGTAGGCGCCTAGGGTCGCCCTGCCACATGGGACGCCACCCGCCCTCCAGGAAAGCCGCGTGCCCCAACAGCACCACCCTCGACAACGGGTCCCGGTGGGCATCTGGGGAGGAGTTGGCACGCCTGACCTCCTCCAAACACAGTTCAGGGGGCCAGAACGGGCATGCAGGTTCAGTAGCAGGAGCCTGCAGGGTGGCACATTGTCCAAGAGGGAGGCAGGGCGGCTCATCAAGCAGAGATCCGCGCACACCCTTCCGGAATATTGAATCTGAACGGCTCAAGAATTTGTAATCTGACAGGCTCATTTCAACGGTAAATAAAGATTAGTCCAGATTCAGAGGCACCACAACAATGCCACGACACGCCACAGGACCTCGTCCAGCGCTTACCATCCTGCTGTGAGATGCCTGGGCAGATGGATTCCCGCCTGTCAGACAAGTATTTCGGGTGTATGGAGAAGCTTATTCTGCCACAGATTCTACATAATCGTGTGAGTACGCTCAGAGCGAAGGGTGCAGCACAACACAACTGTATCTTGCTCCATCCAGCCACCCACCAGCCCATGCGGCTGCATTGTTCGTCAGAACGTAAACCAGGTCTCCATGCCGGAGTCCGATGGACTCCAGCGTCGCTAGGGGCTGACCATCCAGGGCATTCTGCAACTTGGTTGAAACTTACGACATTGCTTGCACATCGAAGTTGGACGAGTCTGAGAAGCAAGAGAAGTCCTCTTCCACCATGTTTTAATCTCACGGACGCATCACCTTTTTGTCTAGCGAGAATTTTGCATCCTCATGGGTGATGTAATCAGGAACAACAGGATGTGCGACGACCTGGGCGACGAGATCCCCGCAGGTGCTGACGTTGTCCAACTTCAGCGTCCCTAGCCCTGCCGGCAATCGGACTCGGATCTTCATTACTTGGCTTTGAGTTGCATGTCTTCATGCTATTAACGCATTTACAAAGTGTGCACAAGGCTTTGTCGCAGTGATCGCCCCTGGGCTTGTGTCGAGGATGGATCACTTTGTGCCCACCGCAGCATGCCCCTCACACAGCCCGTCATCTCGACCGAGCTTTATCTCCATCCCACCACGGCAATGCCTCCAGCGGCCACGCACAGACCGCGCAACGGTAGTTTTATATTCTTTTTGGAGCAAACTATACCGCCATGCAGCTGGTATCTTCGTTCACCGGGCGCGGCTTCATCTTCGGCGTGGCGCCATCCCCGCCCCGGCTCCAGGCCTCTCGCCAGGTCACATGCATGGCCAAGAAGAAGGGCACCCGAATCATTGTCACTCTAGAGTGCACAGAAGCTCGGGGAGAGGGCAAGACGCCCTCCCGATACACCACGCAAAAGGTTCGAAGGGGGCCCTGGGGTGGCGTGGGGGAATACAAGCTCGTCAGGCTCAATGTGCCCGGTCAAGTCTTGCGCGGGTAAACATGCTGAGCAGTAGTCTCGCACCCTCTTCCCGGCAGAATAAGCGCAACACCCCCGAGCGGCTGGAGATCATGAAGTACAACCGGTTCCTGCGGCGGCACACCCTTCACAAAGAGGTAAGGGTGTATCAGTTAAGG